GTTGTCAGGTAGCCATGATACCAGAGCCTGTCTGTATAATGTCTTGTGACGTCCACGGCCTACCCCAGTTACCACTACTGTGCATGTGTGTCAAGGACAGAAAGGCAGATGTGGCAGTGGAAGGTGTCAAAGCAGTTTGGAGAGAAAAACAAAGTAAAGAACAAAAAAAGAAGAAAACTATTAATCGATTATTAAATTAGTCATCGATTATTTTAATAATCGATTAGTCGTCGATTAATCGATTAATCGTTGCAGCCCTAGTTGGCTGCATTAATAAATAAAGTTAAGAGTCATAATCAGAGGTTGACACGATCTGTCTTCATGAAGAGCTAAGTTTGCTACTGGTCACGATTAAACTACAAATCCCATAATAACTGAAGCAAAACGGTCACAGTTTACTTCCATGTTTTTGACCTCTTTGATGCTACAACCCCCCACATACAGCCCCCCACATACAGCCCCCCACATACAGCGGCTTAATTACCTTCTCAAAAAAACAGAAGTTCAGTCATGTCCACTGCTTGTAGTTTAAACATGGGAAAATGTGTTTTCAATGACACTGCTGCATTCCATTTACACCATATTCCCAGAACTGGTAAATGGTAGTGACGTCATTTCCCAACAAACCATATGAAACTACATTCCAGTTAGCCAACAGGCGATTGTATTGTTGCCACTAACCTAGCCTAGCTACAACACTGCTACAATATAAACAATGACACAAAGAGAGCTCTACTCATACGTCATGCAAATAAACAATGACTTTAAGACGTACAGCATTGCACAGAAAACACACTACTTGTGTGAGTGATTAAACATTCACAAAAAATTAAAGATAATTAACAGTAAAAGTTATGGAGTTAACTTTCTAAAGCTGTGAGTAGCCGTCATCTTGAAATGGAAACTGGGGGCAGTCGCATTTCTTCTACTATACCAGTGGAATATTACCACTGGAGGGGTCGTTCCAGTTTAAATCTACCAATGGGAACAGGAATGGCTTGATATCTGTGATTTTTACATTTGGGTTAGAAACAGTACACAGCAGTCGATATGAAGGTCTCATGGATATGACCATTTCATTAAAATAATTTTGTGTTCTTGTATTAAAATTAAATATTATTTAATAACTAAATTTATATCAATAAAAGGTTTCTGTGTTAAAATTTCTGGGACCATTTGAATGTTTCTGTTAATCTTATATGTCATTCCTGATGGTCTTAAAAGGTCTTAAATTTAACTCACTGAAACCTGCATGAA